TTTAATTGATTTTAGTTCTATGTACACAAGGGTGAAGGAGTGTTTGTCAAAACTATCATTTCAACCAAAATCCCCATATAAACTTTAAACTAAAAGCACCATCTCGTGTTGCATCCGCATGAGCTGAGGCTTTCAGAGAATGGTTTTTCTCACCTAATGGAACTAATCTGCAGCGTGGGCTATTCAAAAACATTATGTAAAAATGCTTCCATATAAAGTTGGGCACAAGTACCTGCATGTATAAAATAGAACCCAATTAGTGAGCCTTAGCCTCTTGTCCAGTAGCTCCTGTCTCTCCTCGGAGCAGGGGCACGAGTACTTAACCATATGGTCGGGTAATCAACCTCGTTGGAACTGTAGTCGTACACTGGCAGCTAGGCCGGGCTTACTACTTCTAGAAATTCGGGATATAGAGTACATACCGAAAAGGAGCGGATAAACGACGAAGAGTGGAGATTTGGAAGGAAAAACGATTGGAGGAAGTAACAAGAAAAGTTAGAAGATCTCCTAAGCAATGTTTCTCATAAATATGTTTTATAATTATATACTGGAGCTCGGAGCCATGGAATCCTTGAGGACATTTGAGTCTTACTAATAATCAGATTAAAAAAACAATTTTCTGTAATTTTTATCACTTAAAAAATCAGTATCTAGACCAGAACCAGCGCACAGAATGAGATTTGACAATAGTTTTCCGAACACTGATAGGGAGATATGACTATAAATTAAAAATGTGATTGTCTGGTAAACCATCTAAGATAAAATGTTCATCACTGTTCGGTTAAGTGTAATTCTATGGTATTTAAGCCATAGATCTCCTCCAGCCATGCTTTTAGAGACCAAAAAAGTGCTAAGTCATGGAACAAGTTCGTTGGATGACTCACTTGGTTGTAATTTAGCCAAGTCAGCCGAGATCAGTCACTCTTACCTTAATCAATTTAGTATTATTGGGGAATCTGAGCAAGGTCATCCGAATAAGTTAACGTAATTTATTAAATAAAATGCCTATTATATTTGGCACGGAGCAGGGAGCGACAATAAACCAGGTAGTGTCCACAAAAAATGCCTCTTTAACACAATTAGTCAATGCCATTATCGTTCATCCACGGTGAGCAGTGAAATTAACGAATTATTATTTCCCGTAGGGCAGGTATGCGTTCATAAAGCGTTCACTCATTCATGATTGGTTGAAAATATCAACCATTTATGCCATGACGACATAAATCAACGGAAAACGGCATGTAGCACACGCCTATATTAAAACTTCAAGCAGCAATTCATAAATTTTCATGTTGACCACATTCTGTATAAACCCGTTTTCATCTCTTGTTTTCATTTTGTTCACTCGGTTTATCGATGGCGATTTTCATTCATTACGATAGAGTATTGCACCATTTATCGATGGCGATTTTCATTCATTACGATAGAGTATTGCACCATTTATTTTTATCACGTCTGAAAACTGAAAATACTGCGAAGAAGAAATTTGTCTATCGTTTTTTTTTTTCGTTTTTGTTATCGAAGCTGTGAAAATCGATGTCACAAATTGATTGCGATTTATTTTAAATAGCCAAATTCTCATCAGATTCCAGCTCTGGTTCTTCTGGTAGTGTGTACACTCCGGTATTTAAGTTGGCTTGTATAGTTTGATTTGCAACGATTGGAGCCGGATGACATTGTTCAGTCATCAGAGATAGGTCTGCAACGTTTTCAAGGACTTCAGGCAGCACCAATTGATTATTCATGGTGATAATTGGAACCAGTTCGTGTCCTAACGAGTGATTATTGCAATCTTTTAGTACGTGTAATTGATTCAGATCGGGCTCCTGGGCAAAGATTAATGATGTTGGCGTACCTGTTGACCGTGAACAGACGATGTTAGAGAGTAATACATACCTTTGGGGACGAACACTGAGTCAAAAAGTTGTACGTAGCTGCAAAGCATTTCTCAGATCACATTCAAAGGGCAAGTTAATTCTGCTGGATATCTTTTACCGTTATAACTACGCAAAAGGTTCAGAACCTGTATTAATTTTGTGGCAAGTCCAGGAAAATTGAGAATATCTTCAACTCTAAACTTTCCTCGCCCGGTTCAGGGATTGATCTTACTGTCTTGTATTTTTTTCTGGAAATTACATTTGATTTTATGATAGCCTTAATAAGTTATATCAACCTCACTTTGAATATAGCTTATAAATCTGGAGGATTAGATAGCTTACTTGATTTTCTTTTTCCTTATTTATACATGGTACCGTTTAAAAATATATGTATTGCTGCACGGATAATTGTTTGACTCAGTGTACTGATTTGGAGGGAACATGTCGCAAACGATAAAAATAGGAAAACAGCTTGCTCACTTATACCGTGGTTCGTTTACTTTACCTGTGATTAATGTTTCCTCGGTGGGATTTCTTTGATACAGATTTGTATTCTTCTCGTAGCGTCAGGAGGCTAGAAAGTCTTTGTGTTCGTCACTTAATTTCAGCTTCTTCTGGATTTCTACGACGTGTTTGAGCCTATGCATGATTTCTTCATGCAACACGTTGAAACACATAGCGGTTAGTGCCATTCCGGACATGATGTAGATCGAACAGAACCACGTGGTCATAGTGGACTCTTTCCGTAGGCCAGGTACCATGTCCCCAAAACCAATCGTTGAGAGACACATGAAGCAAAAATATACTCCATCGATGATAGGCCAGTCCTCGAGTTTGTAGAGTGCAAATGCCCCGAAAGCTATGTAAATGGACATCATGGCAATGCACAGTAAAATGGGCGCTAATATACTGAGTCCATGCATGGAAGTACGTGATTCGCTATCGGTGCCGTTTATGGAATCAATGTCGCTTATCATTGGTACCTGCTTTTCTGGCGAATGGAGGTTATTGTGCAAGGAACCGGAACGTACGTAATAAGGCTCCTGCAGGGCAATATGCTGGGCTCGCAGCTCCATCTGTTGTCGTTTGCGCTTCATCCGGCGTTCCTTTTCCGCCATACGTTTTTCATCGTAACAGCAGTAGCCACAGTTGGAACATAAACAGCAACAGAATACTCTAGAAAATGATGAAAAAAAAAAATGGTATCAGAGCGCATGGTATTGTTTGAGAGTGAGAAGTATTCGACCTAAATCAATTTCACACATAACGTATTATTTGATTCCTGTCAACATTGAATTGTTTGGATAAGAATACACTCTTCATCTGCTATGTGAGATTCAGTTACCGTTTTAGAACGATAAAATGGCAATCGTTTTGTCATCCGTGATGAGATCATTCGATTCCTTATAGCATGATTTTTTTTTTAAATGTACTGCTTCACAAATTCATTTATTCGGGATTGTGTAAGTACGATACTAAGCTGAAAAATTAGTGCGGGCCAGAGAAATTAACAATATCGGGAATGTTGAGATCATTTACTAAATTAATTCTGGCCTTCCGAATCATAAGGTCCTAGCTACAATGATCAACCCTCTTCATAAATTTTCTTCTTTGTTAATAACTCAGTTGAATTGACATTTGAGGCAACCCATAGCACAGTCAGTAATGGCACAGGTATAAAGCAAGACCAAGCTATGTGCGATTTTCGGTTCGGTCTAGGAATTTTTCGTGATGGAAAATTTATCGACTCCCCTGGGCATAGAGTATGGCTGAAATTGCCACACAATTATTCAGATGCAAAAAATGGTACAAACTTAGTAAGCTCTTAACTACCAACTGAGGAAGTGCTCTTAGAACCCTAAGTTGAAAGCCGGGATAAAGTCTCAGTAGATACATAGTAAAGCCAAAAGAATAAGAAGAATCATAAGGGCTTAACTGAAATGATCGATTATCTTCACAAATTTTCGCTTTTGTTAATAACTTTGCTGTATTAACATTTGGGGCCTCCGATAGCTCAGTCGATAATGGCGCAGGTGGCCATGGCCACGCAGGAGGCTGCTGGGCTCCATTCCCGGACCAGTCTTCAAGATGGAAAATGTCTCGACTCCCTTGGGCATAGAGTATGATTGTACTTGCCAATAATACATTAATAGAATAATAATGAAATAGAGCCAAAGAAGAAGAAGGATTATCATTCCTTTGTGCGTTTTCTGTTTCTGTTGCTAGCCAATATAACCTTTTTCAGCATTGTATTGTAACAATGATTTGGAAAAGTGTTTCAGTTAACTGTAATAGATCATCGCAGTTAGGCCTTTATTATTCTGAACGCTAAACTTATAAAATTCTTGTTCTCATAAAGGATGATAGAGCTCTTCTTTATTTATCTATGTGCCTTTATTCAATATGACTGGAAAACACGCCAACTGATCAGGCTTTTCATTCTCCGATTTACATGAAACTTTGACTCAAGCCTCATTTTTGCAAATGGTGTATTCGATATATTTAAAAAAAATCATTCACATTTGAAGGAGGAGAAGGAGGAGTGGAAGAAGAAGGATAAGCCCGGGCATTGTAGAAAGAAAAGTAAGTGTGATGCTTTTATTGTTGAGGTGAAGGGTGGAATGACATACGCTGTACTCCTCCGGAAGGAGGACGTGGAGTTCAAGGAACTAGGGGAGAGCGTGGTGAAAACCAGGTGCACCAAGAAAGGCGAAATACTCTTCGAGCTGAAGAAGGACCTTTCGATTAAGAGCTCAGGCTTTAAGGAGGTGGTCGAAGAGTCTCTTGGTGAGGAGGCAAACGTAACAGAAGCTGAGTTGATAATTGCACTGAAGGTACATTGCTATCTGGGAGATGTACCGATGACAATCCGGAAGAGAAAGGCGTACGGTGGCACGCAAACAGTGGCGATACGACTTTCTATGGCTGCAGCCAACAGGCAAAGTAAAAGTAGTGTGGTCAGTGTGCTTGATGAAAGCTACTCCTCGGGTTATCATGAAAATAGAGAGATGCCTTAAGTGCGTGGGCTTCGGTCACCAGGCGAGAAACTGCAAAGGCCAGCCAGATCAAAACTGTGGAGAAAATGGGGGGAGAATGGTCACATCGTAAGAGACTGCACGAACTTTTATTATGTTCTGAACTAGAAGATACAATTTTGAGAAATTATATTATATCGATATTTTATAGATGGCATAATATGACGTCTTAAGGCTCTACAAATTTGCCATGAGCCCAGGAATTTTTCTTTAACTTTTGGGAGCTTCGTAAAACTTCATGGACTTCCAAAAAGTTCAGGGAGCATCGTAGAAATTGATGTAACTTGGTCGAAATTCTGCAAACAACATAGATCTTCGGAAAAATCCGTAGAAACAAGGAACTTGCAAAAGTTCTGAAAACTGCGTAGAAGTGGAAAATTTACTTAAGTTTGAGGAGCTTCGTAGAAGTTAAGGGAACATGATTTTATTTCAAGGAAGCTCATTATTGATCGGAAACCTCTATGTAACTCCAGGGCACTATTTTGAAGCCCCATGAACTTGGAAAAGCTGTGGAAATTACATAAAAATTCAAAAAAAAAAATTGTTAATGGAACTTAGTGGAAAATCGATGAGACACGTAGAAGTGCAACAATCTTTGTAGAAGTTTTGCGAATTTTATAGCATTTTGAGGAGCTGCGTAAAACTTCATATAAGTGTAAGGAATTTCGAAAAAGTTCAGGATATTTTGTAAAAGATTTAAGACTAGTTCAATAAACTTCTAAGAACTTCAGAGATTCTTGCTTCAGCTTCGGGAACTTCATTGCAGTTTGTCAGAGATCTTACTTCAAAAAAGCTCCATGAACTTCTTGGTGGTTTTGGGAACTTCGTTAAATTTCAATGAATATTTTAGATGTTCAAGAATATTTGTAAATGTCTTAGGTTTCTTTCTAGAAGTGAAAAAATGTTCAGAGATCTTCGCAGAATTTACAGAGATGGAAAAATATGGAATTTGGAATAAATTCAGTGAACTTCGTAGAAGTTGAGGACATTTTGTGAAACTTAAGGGAGGTTGTTAGATGTTCAGGAAACATTGCATAAGTTACAGGATATTCTTTCAGACATCCCTCGTAGACAGCAGGAAATACTCGAAAGATCTCCATGTAGACGAATATATTGGTAATATTTTTCCAAGACTTAAGGTTGATCAAGTTCTGAGGATCTCCAACAGTTTAAAAAATTCAAATATTCTGTCAAGACCGTAGATTGTTTAGGAAGTATTCAAAAGTTTTTCAGTTAATTAAATATAATGGAATCTTGAATGATGAATCTAGATTTTATTGACATGTTTATACATTCTCTATAGGAAATACCCGTGGCTTGGTGATTTAGCTATGTTGTGGGCTAAATTCCGGGCATAAATTTCAACGAAGAGATGGAAATTTGTACATATAACTAAAATGTATATATTTGCGTCTTTTCGATGAAATTTATGCCCGGAATTTAGCTTCATGATATTTTGAATGGCGTAGCACATAGCAGATGTGTGTGTGTGTGTGTGTGTGTGTGAGTGTGTGAGTGTGTGAGTGTGTGAGTGTGTGTGTGTGTGTGTGTGTGTGTGTGTGTGTGTGTGTGTGTGTGTGTGTGTGTGTGTGTGTGTGTGTGTGTGTGTGTGTGTGTGTGTGTGTGTGTGTGTGTGTGTGTATGTGTGTGTGTGTGTGTGTGAGTGTGTGTGTGTGTGTGTTTTTGTGTGTGTGTGTGTGTGTGTGTGTGTGTGTGTGTGTGTGTGTGTGTGTGTGTGTGTGTGTGTGTGTGTGTGTGTGTGTGTGTGAGTGTGTGTGTGTGTGTGTGTGTGTGTGTGTGTGTGTGTGTGTGTGTGTGTGTGTTTGGGCAAGGAGGAAACCTTCAAAAAGGCCGCTTGACGACTGGGCGGACAGTCGCGGTGACACGGTGTGTGGGATTCTTACCGCACTAAAACCTCCTTGGACGCCTTGCCCTTTCCCCCCGAACCACTTGTCGTATTACTTCGGAGGGGGCCGTGCATTACGCACCTCACTTTACCTCAGCTAATTGGCGTTTCCAGTTCGCTGATTGTCTCTCCAATTTGTGAGCCATTTAGCTCCCAGCGTCACGTTCTACTCGGTTATCCCCGGCGGTGGCTTCAGCCTACTCTGATGGAGAGTTCTCCCGGCACTCGCACTTGTGTGAGCACATTACTACTTTCTAGTTGGTCTTCTCGCCATTTTCGCTGCAGCGCTGATATGATCTGCGTTACTGCTCTGCTGACGGCGTTAAAGGTGCCCTCCTCTCGACACATTTCTTCGTCGACATTCTCCGTGCTAAGGGCGAGCATATCCTCTCGCACATCTCAAATCTAGGACATTCGAAGACCACGTGCTCTTGTGATTCTTTCACATTCCCACACTCCGGACAGAAGGGTGACGTTGTGTGTCCGAACCGATGAAGGTACTTCCTGAAGCAGCCATGACCAGACAGGAACTGCGTCAAGTGGAAGTTGACTTCTCCATGCTTCCTGTTCACCCAGGTCGAAAGAGTCGGTATTAGCCTGTGTGCCCATCTACCGTTCTCTGCTGCATCCTACTCCTGCTGCCACCTAGCCATCGACTCCGTTCTCACCATTTTTCGTACTCCTCTGGTTTCTCTCGTCATATAGCACTCGTAGTCCTCCGCCAAGGTCATGCCGATTGGGATCATACCGGCGATAACGCATACTGCCTCCATCGAAATGGTTCTGCACGCGCTCACGACTCGCATGGCCATGAGCCGGAACGTACTGCTCAATTTCCTTTGGTTCTGCTTCGTTTTCAGCGCTTCAATCCAGGCTGGACCTCCGTACCTTAATATCCATAAGGACACTTTAGCCAGAAGACGCCTCTTGCTGCTGCTTGGACAAGAATTGTTCGGTATGATTCTGGCTATTGCGTTGATGACCTTCGCCGCCTTCTCGCAAGCATATTCGATGTGGCTATTAAAGTTTAGCCGGTCGTCGATCATCACTCCCAGATACTTTAGCACGCGCTTCGAAACAATGGTATGCTCTCCAACGGTGATTTCTGCCCGTTGCACTGCTTTGCAGTTACTGACCAACATCACTTCTGTTTTGTGGTGGGCTATCTGCAGCTTCGCTCCTTGCATTTCCACTTCTTCCAGCGTCTCACCGGTTACCGTCAAGACGATATCGTC